TTATTTGCTTATTTTTACAATATGCCATTAATGTAAAAAAAACTTCCCTATACATAATAAATAAAGATTGTTAATATTTTTTAAAATATTTTTTAAGAAGTGCTCTACCATGTAGATTTCTCTAATAAATCAATTTTACCTTATACACATTTATGTTGCAAAGAATTCTCTCTATCAATGAATTTTAATTGAATATATTATTATTATTATTATTATTATTTGGGTCAGAAAGATAACATATATTAATAATTAGGGAATGCGTACAGAGGGTTGGGGCCTAACTAGCTCTCTATCACAAACCATTGATCTATCACAAAGTCGTAAGTTGTTACTAGTATTTACAGTTGTCATGGTCATTCTATTGGAATTATCATCATGAAAACTAATTACACATGAGGATAATTGATCCATATTGCCACTTTGATTTTGCCAAACAGTGACATGGCCTGATTGAGGTCCTCCCAAATATGCCTTGTCTTTTCCAAAAATTTGCGCAACAAAAGTGGGAACAACTTCAAAAACCCTTGGCATCCATCTCCATTTCCAGTGGCCTTATGTTATTTTCATATGCTAATTTCAAACCTTGTGTCAATGCATAGAGCTCTGCAAAGGTGGATGATTAATGTGGTGCAGATCCCGTGGAACCTAATATCCATTCAGCTTTGGAATTTCTAATTATTCCTCTTATCCCTGCAGTGTTGTCTGAATATGCTCCATCTGTATTGAGTTTATAGAAGTGTGTATTTGGTGGATTCCATTTAATATTTTTAATCTTTGTTGTTTTATGATTAATCTTATATGTAGAAGCAACCAAGTATGCGTATTCCGCTGCTTGTTGAGTTGTAGTTTTAAGGAGAATGTTATCCCTAGTCATATTATAAAGATTGTTATTTCGTGTAGTCCAAATATTCCATAAACTAATTGGTAAGTAGGTGTTAGGGTTTATGTCGAAAGGTAGTTTGAAGTTCTTATAAGTAATTAGTTTACGTACCCAAGTTTGTGTGGATGAAAAGTTGGTAATATGATTAATAAGGTGCGTAAATCCTAATTCTTGCCAATATTTCATAGCATTACACATTCAAGGAAAATGTGTTTGATTGATTCATCCTCCCTTTGACAGTAAAAGTAAGTTGCATCCTGGATGATTTTAGTATTTTTTAAGTAAAGTCGCGTTGGTAACCTATTGTGGCATAGAAGCCAAATAAAGCTTTTGATTTTTGGATGGATAGGGAGTTTCCAAATCCGTGAAAAAGTATTTAAATGAGTCGTAGGTTATTGTGCCTCTAATTCTAGTTTGGTATGCATTGAATGGACTGTAAAGTTGCCCGTTTGCGTCAAACCCCAGTAGATTTGATCTCCATGATTGTGTAATTGAGATACATATGTAGCTGTAATCAAAAGTTTAATATTATGGGCTAAGTCAAAAGTGATCTTTTCCCAATTCCATCCCGTGTCATTTAGCAGTTGCGAAATTGTTAAATTGCTTTGTTCCAAAGTTAAAGGGCCTTGGATCATAGAACGCAGTGTTGTACCTAGTTTTATCCAAGGGTCATCCCAAAATTTAATAGGGATTTTTTCCTTCCTATACCATAGATGAAACTTTATTACCAAATATGTGCATAGTATCTAAATTACCCGCCTAGTCCACATTTTTTCCTACAATTTCTGTACCATTCGTTTATTAGAAATTAATAGGGCGGAATCTTCCCTTAATAACGCGCGAAAAATCAGGAAAGAATCTTGAGATTGATTGATTCTACATTAAATACAAGTTTTGAAACGGAAAGGAGATTTCGCATCTGCGTAATTTACTCTTAAACTACAATTCAAAATTTTTAAAAAAAAAGTACGAACAGCTTCAACAAACTACGAACAACTTCAACAAACTAAATTCAAATTGAAGAATTCAAATCTTCGAGATTCAACAACTCAACATTGCTATATTCTGTTCTTCGTCGTTTTCAGAAATTAAATTGGCGATCATATATCTGTTCTTCATCTTTTTTTCTCTCAATCTAGAAATTCAAAAAATCAAAAAAATTTAGAATAATACATCAGCAACTATACGCAATCATGTCCAAAATCGCAATCATGCTACAATTGAATGGTAATTGAGATAACTATGGCAGATTTAGAGATTTTGAAGTTGATGCCATTGTGGTAGATGAGAATGCAAGCTACAGTATTCTGATTTCTACAATTGTAGGACAACTATCGATTGATACTTCAGAAAAAATTATAGAAATCAAATACATGGTGAACGACAATTGTCCCCCAATGGAGATTAGGAATGATATGGGGGTTCGTGTGTATATGGAGACCAAAAAGGAGAATAAAAACTTAGGTTCATATCCATTATGTATAGGTGTACGAGATTTCAATATGGAATTGGCAATCACCACGATAACACAAGTGCAGGTTTGTGTAGTTCGAAATTGCATAAAATTATGATTTTACGGTATTATCTACAAAATTACTACATTTACCTACAATTAAACTACAAATAAGTTTAATGAAAGAATAAAGCAATGTTGTTTTCAAAATTATCTACAAAGTTACTACATTTATACGACAATGTAAACTACAATCTATGATTAGAAATTGTTGTTTCAAAATGTTGTCTTTAAAAATAACTACAATCTATGTTTAGAACAAAATCTAGCCAAATAAAATACAAATCAGTTTAATTATGTACGAAGCATTATTGTTTTCACAAATTTCTACAAATTGCAACAGTTATAGTACAATTTAACTACAATGTCTGACATCCTAAAATGGATGACTACAAAATTTTCACTATATCTACAAATTATCTACAAAGATTCTACAAAATTATAATGACACTGTTTATCTTTATTTTGATGCAGGTTCGTCTGGATGCCTAAAGTTACTTGATATGCCATCCTCTCCAGCTATAGAGAAATATCAAAGTGAAATAATAACAGAATCTACGCAAACTGTTATTGAAGAAGGACAAGTGTATCAGGACAAACAAATTGTAGCTGCTGCAATGAAGCACTTTTTTGTGATGCACAAGTTCCAGTTCGGAGTTAAAAGATCTAGTCATAGAAGGTATGGAGATATTTGTGGATAAAAGATCATTAAAAGTAGTGTTTTACTCAAGATATGTATTTTTTAAACATTATAGATAAATTGTAGTTACATTGTAGTTTATGTTACTTTATGTTAAAACAGTCATTTTGTTGCATCTACATTTATAATCTGTATTAAATATTGTATTTTTTTGTAGCTACCCGCTTGTATGCGTTGGTGAAAATTGTAAATGGCACTTCAAGACAACGTCAATTAATAATTCCGCAATGTTCAAGATAAGGAGTTTCAACCGACAACACACATGCTCGTTAATGGACGAAACATTCATACAGCGCAAACGTACTGTAGCTGTAGTTGGTAGCATGGTCATTCCAAAGTATTGTGATCCTAAGACTGTTTACACACCAAAGGACATACAAACTGACATGTTATCCTAACACGGAATGAACCTAAGCTACATGCAAGCATGGAGAACAAATGAAAAGGCTTTACGATTTTTGAGAGGGAATCCGGCTGACTCCTACAGCAAATTACCCAAATATTTTTATATTCTTGAGGAGAATTATCCTGGTTCGGTTGTTAAATTGAAGAAGACAGCAAATGAATGCTTCTTATATGCATTTGTTGCTCTTTGTACATCAATAAGTGGTTGACAACATTGTAGGCCAGTAGTAGTGGTTGATGGGACATTCTTAAAGTCAGCCTGCAGGAGGATTATGCTGACAGCAAGCACCATGTACGCAACAGGTAAAAAGTGTAAAAATTTTGTAGTTATTTTGTAGGCAGTCTATAAAATGTAGATACATTGTAGTAATTTTGTAGCTATTACATGAAATGTAGATAAATTCTCTATATTATGAAGATATATTGTAGTTGTTATGTATTTATATTTTTATATACATTTTCAAAGCTGCCAATTAATATTTTATGAATTAATAATGTAGGTACAATATTTCCGTTGGCATATGCTGTGGTTGATTCTGAAAACGACGCATCTTGGAAGTGGTTCTTTGAGCAATTCAAGCAGGCATATGGTGAAAGACCTTCAATGTGTGTTGTTTCAGATAGGAATGAGAGTATACTGAAGGCAACATCAATTGTCTATTCGGGTATGCCACACTGCTCTTGCATGTGGCATATTTGGACAAATATAAGGTCAAAATTCAAGAAGGGTCATCTACAATTACATGAATTGTACTTTGCTACAGCACGATCATACACTCTGGATGAATTTAATGAAAGGATGTCGAAGATTGAAGAGGTAGACCCGCGTCTGAAATCTTACCTATATGATATTGGCTATCATAGATGATCAAGATTACATGCAACAATGAATAGAACGTGGACAATGACATCAAATATTGCAGAGTCGTTGAACGTTGTAACAAAAGATGCAAGAGAGTTGCCGATATTTGACCTTTTAGAGTATATGCGGATAATGCTAGAACGTTGGACCAACGAGAAATTATTGAAGGCGAATGGTACTTTCACATTTCTTGGGTCCAAATTCAACAAAGAATTAGAGAACAACAGAACATTATCTCAGAAGCTTTGGGTAAGATCTGTTTATTTGGTGCAGAAAAAATAAATTACTTAATATGTAGTGTTTCCAGATTGTAGATAAATTGTAGTCAAATTGTAGATAATTGTAGGNATGTATAAATGGTAATTTAGTATACTAAATATAATTATCTCTAACCTTAAATATTGAGGGTAATAAGGTTTCATATGTGGATATTTTTTTTGCCTAATTTTTGAATACCAAGGCCACCAATTTGTTTTGGGGTTGTTACAACATTCCATTTAATAAGGTGCATTTTTTTTCGTTATTGAGCGCATTAAACTCAACTACTTTAATCCATTTCATAATTAGTTTTTGGACTGGAATGCAAACAAATATAAATTTCAAGGACTCATTCGAGATAAAAGAAACACAAAAGTATCACTCTGTCTCTACACTTTCACCCCGCCTGCATCTTATCTTTAAGAAAAACCAGAGCTTACAAAAAACCTCTGAAGCTCCCAAAACCCTGAAACCCGCAAAAGAGAAAGATGCTTCTACAACCCACCACCACCATTAAACCCCCACATCAAAACCATGTCTCCTTTTCATCATCCCTCTGTTATTCACTCTCTTTCCCTTCCGGGTTTTGCAATTTGGGTGGTTTAACGTGCCCAAAAAACCATACAGTTATTATTAGCTGTTCCTCAATATCACAGGTACATAGTTATGGGACTGTTGACTACGAGAGACGGCCGATAGTGAAATGGAATGCTATTTACAAAAGAATATCTATGAATGATGGCCCAGAGAGAGGCAGTGTTAGTGTGTTGAATCAGTGGGAGAATGAAGGGAAAAAGGTTACTAAATGGGAACTTTCTAGGGTTATTAAGGAGCTCAGGAAGTTTAGGCGTTATAAGCTTGCTCTTGAGGTATATTAAAGTTTGAATCTTTTTTTATCAGATTATTGCTTGGTGTTCTCTAGCTACCTGTGCTTGAATTTCTAGGTTGAATCAGTTAAAGTATTAGTTTTTGTTCTAAGTTGATTGGTGATTAATTGTGTTCCCTGTGTTGCTTTGGTTTGAGTTAGTTTGATTTTAAAATAGTTGATATTATGTTTATGCTGTGACAAAGGTGGAATCTAAGATTTAAACATCATGTCTTGCTGTTGTTACGTCAAAGTGAATTTCATATGATTTCCAATTTAGTGCTAAATTATTATCAGTGGCATGTAGAACATTCGATTAACAACACTAGGAGGTAAGTAGAAATTACCATCGTCCTAATAATGTTATGTGCATGAGTTGCCAAAGTCACGCTTTGAATAATATATTTCCTGCAGAAAATTTAGAAGCTTGTATGAGCTGTCTAGTGCAACATGTGCTGCTGAAGTAGAAAGATGCGATCCAGATAGAGTACTCGAGTTTTCTTGGAGTATATCTGTGGATACCTATTCTTTGAAAGTTTTTCTTCAGCACCAGGAACTCCCTCTTTGCAAGCTACTTGCTTATTTGAACCCTCTAGTGACAGATGCACAAATTGCACTGTTCATTGTGCACAATACCCTATAATGTTCTTTTTTAATATTCGGTGACCAAGTGAAACTAATGATCTGAAAGAGTTCACAACCTGAAACATGTGTATCACTCTGTCTCAACAAAGGGCGAAACTTGAAAACTTTGAATGAGTATCAATAGACTTTTTGTGGTCAAGACTTGTCAACTAGGCTGATTACAAATTTTAATTGGTATACTAGAGAAATGTGCAATTTTTCTGTGAGCCCTATGATTAAACTTGATTAATTGTCCTTATTGTTCCGATAGCACGATTTTGTACGTAGTTCAGTTGAATCTGTTAAGTACTCATTTAACTCACTGAGACATTGAGTTCATTATATATCTCCAATGTAATTCAGTTCTGTTGGGGCTCAACTTTATCTTGTATCCTGCAGGTGTATGAGTGGATGAACAATAGAGCAGAGAGGTTTAGACTAACCACCAGTGACACTGCTATCCAGTTAGACCTGATCGCAAAAGTACATGGAATCTCAAGTGCTGAAGAATACTTTGTAAAGTTGCCAGACACCTTAAAAGATAAGCGGATATATGGTTCTCTTTTAAATGCCTTTGTGCGGGCTAGAAAGAAGGAACAAGCTGAATCTTTAATTGATAAAATGAGAAATAGAGGCTATACTGATCATGCTCTTCCATTCAATGTGATGATGACACTCTATATGAACCTTAAAGACTACGATAAAGTTGAGTCCGTGGTTTCAGAAATGATGGAAAAACAAATTCCATTAGATATATATTCCTACAATATCTGGTTATCATCATGTGGATCTCAAGGATCTGTAGAAAAAATGGAAAAAGTACTTGAAAAAATGAATCTGGACACTGATATCAATCCAAACTGGACTACATATAGCACTATGGCTACTATGTACATTAAGTTGGGGCAGTTGAAAAAAGCTGAAGACTCTTTGAAAAGTGTTGAGAGCAGAATCACAGGTCGTGATCGAATTCCATACCACTATCTTATCAGTCTTTATGGTAGTCTTGGTAAGAAGGAAGAGGTTCTCCGCATCTGGAAAACCTACCAATCACAGTTTCCAACAATCCCAAACTTGGGTTATCATTCTGTAATATCTTCTCTGGTGAGGTTGGATGATATTGAAGGTGCAGAAAAGATATATGATGAGTGGCTACCTGTTAAATCGCACTATGATCCTAGATTAGGAAATCTTTTGTTGGGTTATTATGTGAGGAAGGGTTCTGTGGACAAGGCTATTGCGTTCCTCGACCAAATGGTTGAAGCTGGAGCAAAGCCAAACTCTATGACTTGGGAGATTGTTGCTGAAGGCCATATCAGGGAACGGAGATTATCTAAGGCTTTATCATGTTTGAAGGATGCCGTTTCAACTGAGGGATCGAAGAGTTGGAGACCGAAGCCTGCAAATGTATCTTCCATTCTCAGACTTTGTGAGCAGGAAGAGGATACGCAAAGTAAGGAAGCCCTGATGGAGGTGTTGAAGCAAGTTGGGTGTCTTGACGATGAAAAGTACATGTCATATATTCCATTATCAAACGGTACATTTACCGGTGATGAGCCAGAAATAGATAAGGATACATCTGATAATGATGAAGGATCTGAGATACTGCTCAACCAATTGCAAGGAAGCTTGTGAGACTTTTTCACTCACTTTGAAATGCAACATTTTTCCAGGTAGATGCGTAGGGGATAACGCCTCATGAAATTGGAGTTTCGGCATGTGGATGCTCGACAAAAGCAAGAGTCTGAGTGTGTAGAGCTGAGAAGCAAGATATTCATGATAAACACATATCTACTGATTATGGTTTCCTTATTTAGGTTTACGCAGATCCATTTTGCTATATACTCCTATGTAGTTTATTAATCATCTAGTAGAAGTCTATTGTTTTAACTTTGCCCATCAATACACATGTTTTATCAGGGATGTCACAGAAATATACTGCAGGTTTATATGTAAATATGATGAATTGTGCATTACTTTATTTGAGTTCAACTAGAAGTTTTCATTTTCTTGCTGTGCATTATTGGTCATTGTGTACTCTTGAAATTCCCCCAAGAACTTTCATCCCAAATGTTTTACTTTGCGCCACTGCATCAACAACAACAACAACAAATGGGGTGTGGGAAGGATAGTGTGTGTGCAGATCTTATCCATGCCTTGTGAATGTAAAGAGGTTGTTTCCGATAGACCCTCGACTTAAGAAACACTAAACATGAAGCAACCAACAATAACAACAACAAAAAACAAGACACTATGTGTAATAACAAAGATCCAGAAATAAGAAATACAAGAATAGTACTCATAATACTGGTAAGAATAGCACAACATGGAATAACAAAGATCTAGGGAGACGAAAATGCAAGAATATTACTAGTAAGATTAGGAGAAACTCTCGACAACCTACCATGCTTCAATCCTATTTCTCGACCTCCATACCTTCCTATCGCGGGTCATGTCCTCGGTAAGCTGGAGCAATGTCATGTCCTCTCTCACCTGCTATCCAGGGCATCGATATCTCTCCTCGTTACTTTGCACCACTGCAGTCTGCATATTGGTTGCTTAACAATTCAACTGGCATTCTGACAAGTTCGACATATTCCGAGGTTTCTGATGGTCAGTAAAACATAAACAACTTCCTCTTCTGAAAGGTAGCTAGTTCCATTGTTTTCGTGAATAGTATTTTGAATATAGAAGAAATTAGCATATGTTGCTGGTTATCCTTTTTTCTTTCTATCGCGGGTCATGTCCTCGGTAAGCTGGAGCAATGTCATGTCCTCTCTCACCTGCTATCCAGGGCATCGATATCTCTCCTCGTTACTTTGCACCACTGCAGTCTGCATATTGGTTGCTTAACAATTCAACTGGCATTCTGACAAGTTCGACATATTCCGAGGTTTCTGATGGTCAGTAAAACATAAACAACTTCCTCTTCTGAAAGGTAGCTAGTTCCATTGTTTTCGTGAATAGTATTTTGAATATAGAAGAAATTAGCATATGTTGCTGGTTATCCTTTTTTCTTTCTATCGCGGGTCATGTCCTCGGTAAGCTGGAGCAATGTCATGTCCTCTCTCACCTGCTATCCAGGGCATCGATATCTCTCCTCGTTACTTTGCACCACTGCAGTCTGCATATTGGTTGCTTAACAATTCAACTGGCATTCTGACAAGTTCGACATATTCCGAGGTTTCTGATGGTCAGTAAAACATAAACAACTTCCTCTTCTGAAAGGTAGCTAGTTCCATTGTTTTCGTGAATAGTATTTTGAATATAGAAGAAATTAGCATATGTTGCTGGTTATCCTTTTTTCTTTGTTTCGAGAATAAAAATAACAAATGCGGTGAGAGAGGCTCGAACTCTCGACCTCAGGATCACTCAGAAGCTATGAGACCTACGCGCTAGCCAACTGCGCCACCACCCCAATATATGAATTGGTGGTTATTTTCAAATACTTATTAAAAACAACTATTCAAGTAGACCTAGTACAAGATTCTCTTTCCTTTTTCTTATGCAGTGAGTGGGCTCCTCTAAAGGACACTTTGTTCATGCTATTTCATTTGCTACAGAGTTTGAACTACGTAAATTATCATATACTGTAAATGATTCTTATAATGAGCTAAATGTTTGACTTACAGTTTCAGGCAGACATCATAGACAAACTCCAAGGATCCAGTTAATTAAAAGTGGGAGTTGCAAGAAAGAACTAAGTTGATGTACTATCTTTTTCAGTATACAGTAGAAAGATCAAACATTCAAGCATTCCCAGATGCCAGACTAGCAGCATTTGTTATCTCCAGTTTTGAGGTAGTGAGGACTAAATTTACTGGCTACTACAGCTGTCATTGTTTGATATTATTGTGTTCAATACAATTGAAGGCAAAGACTTACCCATGAGTGCATGCAATAAATCAATAAGTGCATGTGCCTTTTATATGTTAATTAACACTAGGTCTAATACATATTTTCCCCCCTTAGCTTGAAAGTAATTAAATTCCTTTGACACATTCCAATTTTCCAAAGCTTTTAGACCAACTGTCATGAGACGATTTGTTAGTAGATTAATAGAGCACTTCCCTTTGACCATATAGGTGTTTATTTAATTATCAATGTTCCCTTTTTTGCATATAGAAAAAATTTAAAAAAAAAAAGAAAAAAGAAATGCCACTGATATGTTGGCTCAAGCCACCATCACCGACGATTTCTGTATCTCTTCTATAAGCTACTACAATATGTTCAGTTCGAGTGAGTCCAAATAAATTGTGCCTTTAATGCTTAGTTAGGCCAGAACATAGAGCTTGGCGTGATGTCCCAACTTGGTTTGTTCCTTTTGGTGGGGGCATGGGTTTGGTCTTAAAAAAAACATATATCTTAATGTTGCATTTTTGTCGTTGACATGAAAATAAGGTGCTACCTACATTTATTGTGAAACAAATATATATGATGGAAATAGATAAACAGGGGTTTTAACTTGAATTTCCATCACCGTAAATTGCAATCAAACCAATTAATATGTTAAATCACAATTGAACCAATTAATATGATCTGCTAAAAATGAAAAAAAGATTGTAAATTAGAAAAAAGTCCCATGACATTCAAATTTGATTGTCGAAATAAAAGATATTAAACATATGTTGAAGATGGAGCCGCAGGAAAATTTACATATGTGGTTTTGGCGGACTTTCGTGAAGTATTACTCTATGCTGACACATCTTTCCGAATCATTATCGACCCGATATTACATATATAAAAATTTTAAATATATTTAATATATAAATATACTTATTGTGATGTAATTTATAAATATTTCTTAAATTTTTTCATAATTTTATCTTTTAAGGTATTATTTCAAGGTTGAACTTAGAACTTTTGAATGTTCAAATAAGTTTTATAGCCATTAATATTAGTAACTTAAATAATGCTAATAAAAGCCCAAACCAAAATCAAATCAATATTAATGCTAACAAAAGACATTCAATTCAATACTGCGTACGACAATATATTGTATATCTAGTTTTTGTGTTTGCAATAATTTAGATAAAAATGTAACCTCTTTTTATTTTTTCTTTAGAGTTTAGTCATGTAACTAATACTTCCTTATTAGTCTACTTGTTTTAGCATGACTTATTACTTTCAGATTATGTTTATTTTTATTATTGCTTTTTAATTAGCAATATTTAAATTACATAATTTTATTATTGTCTTTATTGTTGAATATTTTAGGATAATTCTATGACAAATTTCATATTTTGTATTACTTGAAAAATATCTTATATAGTTGTATCTTACTAGGATTAAAGAAATATTTTGAGCACAAGTTATATGTTTTATTCTACGAAGATTTTACCGGAAAAAATCCGAAAATACCCGAAAACCCGAGAAAAACCGAGATTGAAAAATCCGAGTTTATTGGTTTGGTTTGGTCTTTAGATTTAATAACCCGGTATAATTGGTTTGGTTTGGTAATTACAAAATTCGAACCAACCCGTCCTATGTACACAATTAAAAGGGAAATAATTCAACGTTAGTAGGAAAAATTCACAACTTGTATACCTTTATTTTGCATGCCGCATGTCCCAGGTCTCAACATCAACACTAATAAAGTATTGTTGCAGATATTTTGTATGACAGAATTCTTGAAAATAATTATATTTATGCATCTAATGATAGAAAATATCAAATCATCATTGAAGTTGTGATGCTATAATTAAGATTCAGATTATTGCCTCCTAGTAATATTTTCTATTGCATGCATAGATGAAAATTTTGGCCCTCCCCTCGCAAAATCTTTTGTTTCTGATATGTTTATCTGCAACTGCAGTTTTGAACATTTAAATTCTTCTAACTTGTGCAATGACACCTTTTTTTCATTTAGAAAAGAACAACACATTTTTATTTATTTATTTAAATATCATAGAATTTTAATTGTGTACAATTAAATACCGTTGCATAAGAATTAAGATGGAAGAGTCCGAAACCAAAATGGCAAGTTTTTGGACTCTAATTACGTTTTCACAGCAATAAAAAAAGTTACATTTGTACCTAAAACACAGTATTATACTGCGTTTTATGTTAACGGAATTTTAGCCGTTAACGTAAAACACAGTATAATACTACATTTTACTTAATAATTCGTTTTTCTTATGTAAAATGTAGTATTATACTGCGTTTTACTTTCTTTTTGGGCCTACAATAAGTGTTCTGTCACGACCCAAAATCCACTAAGGGTCGTGATGGCGCCGGACACCATTGTCAGGCAAGCCAATACCAAATAGCTAGTAGTTTCTCGTTATAGATATTTCTGAATTCACTTTTTTTATACATTTAAACAATAAGGAATAAATTTCCACTGAATAAATAATGATATCTTTAACAATTTCAAAATACTGACTACTTCCATAGACATCCCAGAACCCGGTGTCACAAGTGCATGAGCATTTACTAGGGAATGGAATAAAATACAGTAACTGTCCGGAATACAAGTGGACAGAAATGAAAATACAGTACAATACTCTGAAGGAGACTCTGCTGGCTACGGTCGTCTCGATAAATGCAACTCACCTAAGTCTCTGTATCAACCATGCCGTTATGCCACTAGCCACACATAAACCTGTGCAACAAAAATGCACAACAATGTAGTATGAGTACGAAAACAACGTGTACCCAAGTATCCCATCTAATCTCGAAGAAATAGAGACGAGAGGTCGACTTCGACACTTACTAGTGGTCCAATAGTAATATATTATTAATGCGAGTAATCATGGAGTTATTAAGAACAATAGTAAATTCAAATAAGTCACGAAACATGTAAAAGTTCCTTTTTATTAAAAGTCTCCAGATTCATAATCCATTAATTAACAATTATCTCAAGTCGGGGAGAGCAAATATCAATATCAATAAGTCTCAAGGCAAGCAATACAAGCATGCACAAATCATGTCGAGGTCGTACGACCCGATCCAACGTAAATGTAAAATGTGCACTGCCGAGAGTCGAACGA